TTTTAGATATCCAAAAAGAAAATTCCCGCAGAAAAGAAAATCAAATGTAGAATTAGACCAAAATATTATTCACATTTATAAGAGTTAACGTAAATTTCAACTATCCATGGTTCAGAAAGGGTTCTTAGTGTGTTCTACAAATTTTTAAGGAATGGGTTTTTACACATTTTATGTATTTGAAAAGCATACGGAAGTCGTGCGCTTAATATAAATACAGTCAACTCTCGATAATTCAAAATTGAAGGGACCAATAAAAATTCGTAGTTTTTCATTGTTCCCTTCAACTTCGATCAAAAGTTCGAAATATCAAGAGGGTAAGAAAAACTCCTGATTTTTTTCTAACACATGTAAATTTTAAACCATGTAATAAAACCACAATTGTACATATGTACATCATTGATTCTTCAAAGCAGGTCCAGTGCCACACATGCCCCACTTGGTGCCACATGCACAAAGATGAGCCATAAGTAGTTATGATAGTCCAACGCAAAAAGCACAATCCTGCATATCACAAGAGCGGGCCATCTTTTCTGAACACATGAGTAGCAGGGCCACGTGTTAAACGAAAGATATGGATGGCTGACAACAGTTGCGGTCAGAACTGTACACTTAAAGAAGAAAAACAATAAGTGTCTTTTCGTCTGAGGAACCGGGAAACACAAAGAAGGGGTATCAGATAGATGATCATCAACGTGGCTAAGTTACATGAAAGACACGCATAGACAATTCAACACAAAACATGTAAGCTCCAACCTGTTTGGTATAGGATTCTAGATATTAAGTGTTCGAATTGTCGAGATTTTTGTATGATAACGTTGAATTATTGCGTGTTGTAGTCTGCGCAGCCACAGATTTTACTTCGAAATATTGAGTGCACCAAACGCATTGGTTGAGTTCTAATTATCAAGAGTTTTTCTAGGGGCTGAGCATATATTTCGAATTCGCGAGAGGTTTGTATTATCGAAAGTTCGAATTAGCGAGAGTCGACTGTAATTTAAAACAACATATTTTAAAAACATGAAGTTAAAAACGAGAATTTATTAAATGAGATAAATTTTGATGAGTGATTATATAAGTATTCAAATAAACGGTTTACTTAATAAAGTCTCTTACTTATTACCACTTATACATCAAGCATTAATGCGTATAATCACATTTAAATAAAAGTTATGTAAAATGCTTTACCTACTGGTACAGAATATTAATCACGATAAATATTTATTAACATGATTTGTTCCAAACTGCTGTTCAAATATAATCGTTTGATATGTTGATTCTTCAAATTCAAAATTTATTGATACTATGAGAAAATCGATCAAAATTGAGCATCAAATTGGAAAAAAGAAAAATAATTCAAGAAAAATTGCCGTTTTTGAACTATTAGAACTACAAGCTAGAAATTTGGTAGGCCCGTTCCTTTCTTGTGGATTAGAGATCCGCTACAAAAAGTGTTTTGCGAATAGACCCGAAAGGTCGTTGCGAGAGCTTAAGAAGCGTTAGAGATAAATATTATTGCTTTTGAATTTTTTGACGTACAGTCATAAAATTCGTTAGCATTATATATATACTCAAGAGCCAAAACATTATGAACACATGTCAATAATGAGTTGGCCCACCTTTGGCGCACAACACAACTTCAACCCGCCTTAGCAGGGATGCCACAAGTCCTTGGTAGATGGCCGGAGACAGAGTGTACCAGATGTTTAAGCAACGGTCACGCAAATCCGAGATATTGCGAATTGTGGTATTTGAACTCTGAGCTGCCGTCCCATGACATCCCAAATGTGTTCTATCAGATTGTGATCCGGTGAGTTAGGAGGCCAGGACATTAACTGGCATTCAGCATCATGTTCCTGGAATCACTCCAACACAATTTTAGCCTTGTGACACGGGACGTTGTCCTGTTGTAACATTCCATTTCCAGATGGAAAAACAGAGGCCATGTAAGGGTGCAACTGGTCCACAATGATGTTCAGATACCCTGTAGCATTCATGGTCTTCTATACTAAGACCACGGGTCCCAGAGACGCCCAAGAGAACGTCCCCCAAAGCATAATACCGCCACCACCGGCCTGTGTATGACCTACTGTACATTGAGGGAGCAACTGTTCGCCTGGAAGACGGCGTATCCTGACACGGCAATCGGCGTGATGAATAACAAACCGTGATTCATTTGACCAGGCAACTCTCTCCCACTGATCCATGGACCAGTCGCTATGTTCCCGGGCCCAGCTTGGTCAGCAAAGGCAAACGAGTGGGACGTTTGCTGCGTAGCCCCATATCCAACAGTGTCCGCTGATCAGTGTGCTCGGATACTATTCTACTTAGCCCTGCAATGTATTGGGCTGTCAGCTGAGCCACTGTCTGGCTCCGGTTTGACACACAGAAGTAAGTGAAAGAATAATTCTTCAGACTTCCAGCAACAGTTAAATACCACTTCACCTGATCACGTGCCTTCCACGTCATCCAGGCGAGTTCATTGCAAAATTTAGGGATGGTCATAATATTTTGGCTATTGAGTGTATATATATATATACATAGAGAGAGAGAGAGAGATCTGTTAAGGAAGGATTTTACGGAATTTGACTTCTATCGAAAGGGAATATCTTCTATAGAAGTCGATCTATAGAAGTTCTATCTTCTATAGATCGAAATAGAATCTTCTTCTATTCTATATAAAAATTTCCTTATTGAACTACTACTTACCGTAGTGAAATTTAGTATGCATGTTACTTTTATTGAATGGAATTTCTCGAAGAAAGAATTTTACAGAAATTGACTCCTTCGGGATTGAGGGAGTCTTTTGCGGCGCATTGATACAAAAAATACCCGTTTTCGAACTACTATTTCAACAGTAATGAACTTTGGTATGTATGTCTCTGTTATTGGATTGAACGGATTTGTTGAACGGGTCAAACAGAAATCGAATCTCAGAGATGAATACTGGAGCTTATTGATAAAAAAAATCTATTTTTGGTTCATTAGGTTTAGACTAGAAATTTGGCAAGCATGTTTATTTTATTGAGTAGAGATCCACTGAAAATGGGTTTTTTGGAGGGAGGGGGTTGCGAGAGAGTAAAAGACAATTCAACTTCAATTTATGAAATTATTATTTGAAAGTTCTGTTCTTTTTAAATCAAGAATTAATTAGAATACTTTTGAATACAATCGAATTCTTAATGCAAAGAGATATCAACAATTTATGTTTATATAAACAGTGTATATTCATATAACATTATGAAATTCTCAGTGAAGCGGTTTGGGTAATGACTGGTATACATACAAAATTATTTTGAGAATATTTCAAGAAACAATTATTTAAATGAATTTTTTGGCAAAAAGTGAAAAAAGAATGTGATATTTTCGAAACATCATCTTCTTATGAAAACTGCTTCTATAATAATATATTGTTTATATACATGACTAAGACTCCTCTACAGATTCTGAACTAGGATTTTTGAAAAATTAGCATTATTTTCAGATTTAGAATGAATTGAAATAACAAACTGTGTGTTTCTTGTTAAAATTTCTCTGATATAACAAAATACAAATAAATCTATTTCTAAACTATATATTTCAAAAATCCTAGTTCAAGTTCTGTGCAGAAGTCTTAGCCATACATAGGGAAATAATTATTATAGAAGCAGTTTTTATAAAAAAAAAAAAAATTTAAATATTTTGAAAATACCTCATTTTTTTATGCTATTTTGCCCAAAAATTGCATTTAAATCATTTTTTCCTTTAATATCAATTTTAAAACAATTTTTATAAGTATATTCTAGTTCCGGTAACAGTAAATATCAAAAGCTAAATATTTATACGCTTTTTCAAAATCTCAGTTCCGAACACCTTAAAAATCTCATTTTTATCGAAATCGAATTAACAAATCAGGGACAGAATCTTATCAAATATTTTGATCCATTAAATTAAATGCCACGCTATCTCATAAAATTAAATCCATTATCTAAAAATTCAGAATCCTTCTCTTGTTAGCAGACACACAACCTTTAGTCACCAATTAACGAAGACCATGGCACCATCCTTCCTCAAGGTACAAATTTGGGTAATCGTTCCGCCAAAAGATATTTAATCGAAGTAGAGTCTCTCTCATTACTTATCCTCTCTTGCTCCAAATGCAATTTTCCAATTATGCCGGAAGAGTCACAATTTAATTAATCCTGAAACAGTGGAAGCAAGAGCGACAGAGTGAAAAAAAGAAGAACACTCAGAGAAGAACAGTTTTCACTAACAGGAAAGTTAAATCGTCTGTACACTTGGCGATTCTAAATTACTTCGATGCTACATAAGTAGTTCATCGTGCGGAAAAGAGGATTCTTCTTTTTTTCCCTCCTTTTTAGTGCTTTTACCTGCTCCGTTTCTGTTTCAATTTACAAAGAAATTAAAAAAAGGCAGAAGTTTACCGTTAAGTAAAAGGCAGAGGAAGAATAAATTAAGCAGTCAAAGTAGTTTGCTGTACGTTGGTGCACATTCGTTTTGTTAACCTGTCTTCTCTTGCATTTTGAGTTTTCGAATTTGTCTGCTAGCCTACTCAAGTTATAACTTATTTAATTAACATTTAGGGTTGGTGACTCCCTTTCCCCAATATTCTCTGTGATCCAATATATTTATTCTCTTAGGATTATCTTTTGAAAGAAAATGTTCCATCGCCTTTCATTTGTTTTATTATTTGAAATATTCATCTTAGATGCTAACAAGTAATATAAAAAAATTTTAAGTCAATTCCTACTTAGGTCAATAAAGAAAATTTTGTTTTAGTTAACTTTTATTAAATAGTTACAATTAATATAAATATGTAAGTATATATATGACATAATCACAATATTAAGTGACAAAGAGAAAGCAATTTTCCTTGCAATATTTCATTTTCCTTTCTAAGTATGGTATTGGACTATTTTCTTATTGTTACTGTTTATTCATTAAAAAAATTATTCTAATAAAATAGATTCGTAAAAAAGAAATCACATTTTTAAAAATTAGGCCACTTCAGGTGGGATTCGAACCCATGTCCTTTGTATAAGAAGTCCAACGCATAATCAACTTCGCTGCAGGGACACAACGAACATTTTTCCTATCTATATGTGCTGTTCGACTATTATTTTTAATATTACTATTTATTCATTTTTTTATTTAATTACTGAATTAATACTTGAAAAAATTGTATTAACATTAAGTGATCCATTACAAGTTTTAAAAAATTTATTTGAACTTGATTGGATGAATAAAAAGTATTTTACAGTAGAACGTCATTTATCCGAACGTTTATTATCCGGAGGGTCAAATATCCGAACCAAAGTCTGGATACGGTTTCGAACAGTGCAATGCTAAACAGTTGTTTCGTGTGAGGCCAAAAGTGACGGGAAACCCCAAGGTCAGGGATATTTGGGGAATTTCAGTTGTGTGGTTTGGTAAACATTTGCGCGGATTATTAGGTCAGTTTGTTTCCAAGTGAGGGGGTGCATCCATGCTCTTTTGTTGAGTTTTGTTGATGTAGAAACTGGATGGCATGCGATGCAGAAGACTGTGTATTTCAAACGCTAAATAATGACGAGACTGTGACTTCCGTGAAAGAAGAATCCGACCCTGTCGACGATGAAACGGATGAAGACAAGGACACCCACAACAAAAGTAGCAAGGGTCCATCAAATGCTGACTCGTTTCTGCGTTAGAGACAGCTATGGAGTGGTACGAACAACAATCAGAGTTCTGTCCTACTCAACTACTGCTGCTGAAGAGAACACAGACTTTGCAGTGGAAAAACGAAGGTGTACAATGGTACAGCGAAAAAGTAAGAGATAATTTTACACAATCAAGGTTAAATTGTGACATTTTGCACCTATTTTGCTTTTCCTTCAAAAACGTTTCCCGCATAGGATGATTTTCAATATTTGCATAGTGTCTCGTATTACATACTGTATGGATCACATTCGGTTTTCGGTTATCCGAACAATCGCGTATCCGAACGGTGTCCGGTCCCAATTGATTCGGATAAACGGCGTTCTACTGTATTAACCATTGAAAATTTAAACAAGATATATTTATTAGTAAATATATATATATAGAGAGAGAGGGGAGGGGGGTAATAGTATAGGAATTGAAAACTATTTTCTGAGAAATTAGTTTTATACATCTATTCCATTAAAAGGTATCCCAATTTAACAAACCAACACCTCAAAAAAAAAACTAACAAACAAAGACTACTTTTGAAATTTCTTTGGCGAAACGCAATTATTAAGCCTTCCTCCCCTCAAATGTATTATCTCCTTAAACTTATGTTTAAATGATTTATGAAGTCATCCACATATATCAGTCTTTCTTTTTTCTAAAAGTACTTATTTACACCTTTTTGCTGCAAAAACATTAGCAGTTGGAGGGGAAGGTGGAGTGTTAAAAAAAGACAATTTTTCTCGAAGTTTTACACACGAATTTCTCCCCTTTCGTCTGGGTGCAGTAGAGATCGTTAAAATCATCGATTTACCATTTGCTGTCGAAATGAACATCACTGGACACTTAGCAAGCAATCCAGATTCTTAGTCTCTTTTCGCTTCCTCCCTCAATATAGTTAAGTGGAAGAACAAACACTAAAGGGTTATTTCTCGGATCAGAAATATCGTCTTTCGCCTGTGACCAATATTCGGGAGAGATTTCACAAGCACTCTCTAGATAATCACTCGAAAGGGCTTCTCGAAAGAGGGAGTCTGTGTAATGAGAATAAAAGGAACGATGCTTTTTCATTTACTCAGAGTTTTAATTTTTGCATCAATTAAGGAGATGTAATTGATTTTCAATGGGTCCAAAAGTCTTAGTGTCAGAAATTAAGGCATTTTAAATTTGTATTCGGTTATTCCAATTATATTTTTAATGTTCCAACAGCTATTTAAAAAACAAATGTTAAAGGAACATGGTACGATTTAGGCAAAAAAATTTTATTTTAAGGATTTTCAAAAAAACATTTTGCCTCCTATGTGTGTATGTGTTTTTTGCCTCCTATGTAAACAGAGTTTGTGCTCAAAATTTCATAAAAAATTAATTTTTTTAAGGAAAAAAAATTTTGTGAAGTTATTTTGAAAGGCTATTCCTCCTACAAAAATTTACATACACACATTAAATTTGATTTACTACATCAAACTATGTATAACAAATGTTGGTATGGGTTGTGCGATAACATGATTGGTATCCGTGCAATATTTCTTTTTATGAGTGTTTATTGAAAATTCTTAAAAAAAGTTACAAATTGTGAGTTTAATTATTTTTAAAAAAGTAAGTATTGCTTTGATTCGAAAATGCATGCCAACTTTTGTTAAATGTACAATTAGCAATAGGAAAAAAATTCAATGCATTATAGGCACAATAAAAAAAGCTTTAGCATTTTAAATGAAGACAAACTAGTTATTTTATCTTTCCAAGAAAAGAAAGTTTAAAGTTTTGATTTCCCATAGAGATGTGAGCAAATGCTATCATAATGCTGTGTTTTTTAAGTTTAGAGCTTTCAAATTTTGTCAGGTTATAGAAAGGAATATAAAGAATAATTTAAGCTAAAAAAAATAAATTTAATTTTTTAGCTTAAATTATTTTTGTTAATTGACTGATTTTTGTCAATTGAATCGTACTGTGTCCCCTTAAAAGGTTTAATATTACTATAAAATATTATTTTTAGTACTTATTTTTCCCCTTCGCTGTCATTGTGTTTTGTTGCGTATGGTGAAAAAGGTTTAATGCTCTTACTAACTAACCAATTGCACTAATTTTTGTTTTAAAAAATATCTGAAGACAGTGCTTCTCAAACTTTCAATGTTTGCGACCCAATTTTCAGTCATAATTTACATCTCTTCCCCACCTCTTTGTAATAACAATGGATTGAATGCATTAAAAATATACTTAAACGTGCTAAAGCTACAATACGACTTTTACTATAAACCATAAAAATTGTCGAGAAAAGTATTAAATTTTGTATATAACAAGCCCATGGAAAGTCCTAGTAATAATTCACCTTATTTTTAATGCATTGATAAATTAACTATCATATAAACATCGTACAGTACTGATACATTTATAAGTATATTATATCAGTGCAAATGTGTATTTAATTTTTATTATGTAAGAATGCATTTAATTTGCTTCCTTTTAATAAATTAATGCTTATATATATATATATAAGCATATATATATATATTAAATTTTTTATATTCGACTTGTCAATATGCTCGCCCCCCCCCCAAATAGGGATATCACGCCGCCTAGGGGGCGCAACCCGCAGTTTGAGAAACGCTGACTTAAGATAAAATATCTCCTTAATAAAAGCAGAAATTAGATATTTTAGTATTAAGGTCAAAAATACTTATAATTATACACTTCCCTTTAATCCTTCTGCTTGCATCTTAGGATTGATGATTTTTTGGATTGATGATCTGTGATCATTGCAGAATCCAGATGAAATCATGCGAATTCACGAAAACTTACAGGGAATACAAAACGGGGTAGGATTCAAATGATTCAAATTACAAAGCAATCAGCACGTGGGAATATAGAAATACTTATTAATTTTCAAAACAAGTAGTAGGAAAAAAATTATGTCCATTTCTACTTAGATCAACAACAAAAAAAATTATTTTAATTACAATTAACATCAATATGTACATACATATGACTGAATCATAACATTAAGTGGCAATGCATTTTTATTAAATATCATTAAAGTATCGTATTGTCATCCAAAACAATTGTGTGCATAACGTTTCAGTTCAAATGAATGCTTTGAAATGTGAGGGGGAAAAAATCTTTTAAAGTTTTGACCCAGGTAGCTAAAAATGAATCTAACGTGGCTGTATCTTTAATTATTTAAATTATTAATTACAGTCAATAATTTTACTTAATTATAATTAGATTATAGTATTATTACTAAAAACAATATTGTATAGAAAATTTCAGTTTAAATGAGTGCCTTAAAATGTGAGGGGAAAGATTCTTTTCAAGTTTTGACACAAGTCGCTAAAATCGTGCCAACGTGGCTGTACTTGCAATTCTTTGAATAACTAGTTTTGATCAATTAATTTTTATTAATTATAACTAAATTACTACATTTCCATCCAAAATAATCGTGTATACAAAATTTCAGCTCAATTGAGTGCTTTAAAATGCATCTTATATTAACGATTGAAAATTTGAACAAGATAAATATAGAGAGAGTGTGAACAAATATTTGGAATTGAAAAAGAATTTTTGGACCCTATTTTCTTAAAATCTTTATAATCTAAATTAAAATTTTAAATTAATCTTATCTATCGTGGAGCAAATTTTCTCTACTTGCTTTATGGTGTATGTTTTATTTTTATTGCATAAGTGTTTACTTTCAGAATTTTTATTGACTTCCAAATTTTTTTTCAAAAACTGAAAAGAAAAAATTATATTATTTAATAAAAGCAATAGCGCTCTGAATTATTTTATTAATTATTAAGAAAAATGTTTATTTTTAACTGATTGAAGAACTTACTTCAAAAAAATTATTTTCCACGTTTTCTTTAATTTTTAACAATGATCACATTATACTTTTGCCCAAATTTGCATTAAAAGATGTTTTTAAATTAGAATATTTCAGTCTTTTATCATGATTATTTTATTTTGCATTTTTACCAACTTCATTACACTCTGATCACCTTAATAAAGATTGTAAAAATTCATCATTATAACGCATCTACAGTTTCTCATTACACAGAAAAATATTCAAATGAACAAATTCAAGAAAGTGTATTACCAAAAGGTTTTGTTAATACACTTAAGTCTAGACTTAATCTTCATAGACTACATTGAATGTTAAAAAAAGCCATTCAAGGGAAAAAATTTAATTATCAATTAAAAGGAGATTTCACCATATGTAAACATTAAAAATCATATTAGACGAATTTAAAAGTCTGTAGGAAAAGGGCTTTAAGCTGATTTATAGAATCTTATAATGAAAGAAAAATCAATTCTTGAATAAAAAAATATTGGTTAAATACTAATTATAATGTCAATGCACTGAAAAAAGCAAGTATAAAAATTATTGACATTAT